TGCTCTTCATATACTGAGAGCCCCAAGACCCTAGCTTCCTCATCTGTAGAATGGGGATCCAATAATCCATTCAATCACCAGATCTGCACTGGGCACTAAGCACTTAGCATATATTGTATAGAAACAGAAATAGGAGGTTTTGCTAGATAGGGGCTATTGACTGAGCTGAAAGTTGAACTGGGAACTGTTTCCAGTGAGCAAGCGCCATGCAGTGTAGACCAAAGACTGAAGATAGGCTGCGGGGGGGCAGCCTTAGCAGTTCCAGTGCCTGTGCTGTGTTTGTTCCCATGTGTCGCTGGCTGTCCTGGCCTCTGATATGTCTTGTCAGCATCTTGTCCTAGCTGAAGCCATAGCCCCTCTGCCTGAAAGACCTTCAGGACACCAGCAGGAGCCCAGTGAGGTTGCCGCCTGGGCTGGGTGGAGTCAAAGGGTCTCAAGGAGAGTGAGTAAAGCCATTAAGGGCATTTGCTGCAGAGCCAGACCTAGCCCAGTCTCAGTTCCTCACTCAATGCCTGGGTGACCTTGGGCCAATTCATTGTCCTTCTCTGAGCCTCCCTTTTCTCCTCCATAGAGTGGAGATAATAATAGATTTGCTCCAGAGGAGTCTGGGGAATGGTGATGGTGATGGTGCCTGTGAAATCCTTGGCTAGGGGCTTTTGCTGCCAATGGGACAGGTGCTGGATGAGGTGGCTGGCTTTGGACAAGTCATTTAACCTCTCTAAACCTCTCCTAGTGCATCCCAAATCCACCTGAGCAGCTCATGAGCGGAGTTGCTTCCAAGAACCAGCAGGTTCTAGGAGTGAATGAGAGATGGGAGAGACCAGATGTGAACCCAAGAACAAAAATGTCTGTGCTCCATTATCCTCCATTATTGAGGAAAAGGCAGAGCCTGTTTAGCCCTGGTGCTTACTGTTGTTGGGAGAAAGGGTGCAGACCCACTGTCCCTGGATCTTCTAACTTTTCAAAGGAAGCTGGAAATTATTTTATTTTGGGAGGGGACTGTTGAGACAAAGATCTCACTAGGTAGCCCAGGCTAATTTTAAACTTGGAATCCTCCTGCCTGAGCCTCCCAGTTGCCTAGGGTATAGGTGTATGCCACCACACCTAGCTTAGATATCTGTGAGTGTGTGTGTGTGTGTGTGTGTGTGTGTGTGTGTGTGTGTGTGGTTTTGCTTTGTGGTGCTGGAGGTCAAACCTAGAGCCTGAAACATCCTAGGCAAGTGTTCTACCACTGAACTACATCCCCAGCCCTTTTATTAAAATCCATTTTAATTGGAAATTTCTCAATTTATAAATATATCTCATTTAACTATAAGCAAATAAAACACTGGCTGGGAGTGCTTTCCATATAATTTCACTTCTTAGACTAGGAGCCCTTTCAAGACCATAGTCAGGCCAATAACCACAGCAACTACTATCTGCCAAGCCCTGCCGCACTCACCTTCTCATTCCACCTTCCTTGCACCCTCCCAGGACAATCATGATCCCTTTGCACAGATGGCACAACTGAAGCTCAGAGGAACTAAGGAAATTGGCTGAGGCCATTTGAGCCAGCAAAGGGGCAGATCTGGGGTTCAGAGCTGGAGCAGCTGATTCCACACCCAGGTACAAGCTGATGCCCCACAGGAGCCTCCACATCTGCCTGGCTTTATCCCTCCACTCAGCCAGATGTACTCTGGCTTGTACCCCTCCATAGTGGACCACAGAGAGAACTTCTGTGTGCAGGTGTGCCTAGCAGACATTCACACCTTCCCCAGTCACAGCTCCCCGATGGGTGCTGTGTCATAGGAAAGTGTTTGGGATTCTGGGGCATGCCCCACCCCCCAGAACCAGAGGCATGGTGTAGCCTGAGGTTCTGCCCTGTAGCATGCATGCTGTACCAGGTTGGGGTGTTCCTTCACAGGTCCCTTGCTAGCATGCTGCTGGCTTTGGCTATCTCAGCTTGGCCTCTCTTGCCAAGCCAGTTCATGCTCAGTAAGCAGGAAAGAATGCTGATGGCATTGTCAGATTTCTAGCAAGGCAGAGGCAGGCTGAAGTGTGTGTTCATGTTGTATTTCAGTGTTTCCAGACTGGCCATAGGGGCTAGGGCCATTTTGGACTTATACATTGTGTCCCATTTGACCTTCAATTCTTAGTCAATGTTTTTGAAAACATATGCCCATCTGTAGTAGGACAAAGTGGTTAGGAGCTTGGAGCCAGATGGCCTGGATTGAATGGTTATTAACCATGTGGCCTGGGGCAAATTACTTTAACTTCACACCGGCACTCTCATCTACAAACCAGATGTGTTAATAGTGCCAACCTCAAAGGATTGTTATGAGGGTTAAATGAGTTCATATATATGCAAAGTCCTTACGACAGAGCTTAGTGCATAAGAAGTGCTTGGGGAGGTTGGCTGTTATTCTTTCAAGCCCAGGGCCCAAGGATGCACATCCACTCAGGTAAGGATGAGTAAAACATCTCTGGTCTAGCCTTGCCTGCCATCACCATGGCAACCTTCATCTCATCTTGGGAGGGTCAACCTCAGGAGAGCAGGGGCTAGGAGCTGTCTGTGTACCCTTATTTATCAGCCTTAGAGCTTAATAGCACCTCTATATGGACTGGATACTAAGCACCCCAACTTCTTGAATCCAAAGCCACAGATTGGAGAGAAAACCAGAATTCCTAAATGCCCAGTATCTCAGCTTCACCCTTTAGCTGATCTCAGACAGTCTACAGAATACTTGGCAGCGGGCCAGGGGTTTAGCTCAGTGGTTCTACCGCCTGCCTCCCAAGCGCAAGGCCCCGAATTCCATCCCCAATACCAACAAAACAAAACAAAACAAAATACTTGGCAGTGTTGGGAACTGATGAGCCACAGCCCACCAGCCTTTCATAGTGCACCTGAACAGTGTGTGAATTGGTTGCAACATGTAAAAACCAGGAAGTCCAGCACGGTGATACATGCCTATAGTCCCAGCTACTCAGGACTGAGGCAGGAGGATCACTTGAGCCCAGTAGTTCAAGACCAGCCTGGACAACATAATGAGACCCTATCTCAAAAAATAAATAAATGAAATAAAAATAAAAATCAGAGTCCACATTTAAAAATCCAAGTGCCTGGATGTGGTGGTACATGCCTGTAATCCCATCATTCTCGGAGGCTGAAACAGGAAGATTACAAGCTTGAGTTCCAGTCTAGGCAATGTAGAAAGAATCTATCTTAAAAAAAAAAAATGAAGGTCTGGGGATTTAGCTCATTGCAGATGCCCTGAGTTCAATTCTCACTACCACCAAAATCAAATCAAATAAAATCCAAGTACTGGATCTGGCTTTTCTTTAATATGCCAGAAGATCCAGCTATGCTGAGCTGACATTTTCACTGGAACAGGAAAACAGCCAGCCAGGGTCAAGCAAGCTGTCTCAGTTCTTACACATTTCCCTTACCTTCCTGGGCCCTTTGGGGTGTAGGCACTTCTGAACTGCAAGGGAACCCAGAGTTTGGGGTGTGGGCATGCTGGCCTTCTGTGCCCCTCAGCACGGATCTCAATTGGTACAGCTAGCTCATCGCTGTCTCCCTTTTCCAAAACTCTCCTCACCTACCTACTCGGAACTCATCTTTGAGCCAGACTGACTTCTTAACAGTAATAATAAAACAGTAAACAGTTGCCCGGGCTCAGGTAATGGCTTTTATGAGCTCCCAGACCTTTCTAGGAGAACCTAGCCAGACCTCAGTGGCTCATAAAACCTGGGTCTGGAGGGTAGTGTGGGGAAGAAGCTATCCCAAGCAGGGAAAGGACTGAGAATAGAATATTGGAGAAATGTGGTCTTTTCTTCGCAATTTAAATGGAAGCATTGGAGGTGCAGCCTGTGAACACACCAAGGAGCCTGCACTACTGGGCAGGCAAGAGTTGCTGCTCGTCAGCCTACTGATGTTAGGACAGAGATGGGAGTTTGCCGGATTTAGCAAAAATACAGGACACCCACTAACACTGGTATTTCAGTTAAGCCATGGGTACTTTTTTAGCATAAGTATGTTCCATGAAATATTTGAGATATACCAATACCAAAAGCTAGTCTGGGTAGGTATGGTGGCATGTATCTGATTTTTGGGGTTTTTTTGTTTTTTTGTTTTTTGTACCAGAGATCAAATTCAGGACCTTGTGCTTGCCAGGCAGGTGGCAGAACCACTGAGCTAAATCCCCAGCCCATTTTCTTGTTTTTTGTTTTGTGTGTATGTGTGTGCGTGTGTGTGCTTGTATGTGTGTGCATTTTCTTGTTTTTTGTTTTGTGTGTGTGTGTGTGTGTGTGTGTGTGTGTGTGTGTGTGTGTGTGGTGGCATGTATCTGTAGTCCCTGCTAATCAGGAGGCTGAGAACAGAGGATCATTCCAGCCCAGGAATTTGAAACTAGCCTGGGCAAAAGAATGAGACCTCATCTCAAAATTAATTAATTAAATTAATTAAAATAAAAGCTCATCTGAACTTCTAGTGCTGTTGGGTATCCTGGTTTGTCTGTTTTACTCAGCACTGGGAATGGAACCCAGAGCCTTGCACATGTCATGAAGTCATCTTGCCCTGGGCCCCATCCTCAGCCCCAGCATCCTGTGCATTATCAGGCAACCCTGAAAGGTGGTGTTAAAGTACTTGGAAAGAGGCCTGAATACCTTTTTTTTTTAATTTTGGTACCAAGGATTGAACTCAGGTCCGTGCACTTGCAAGGCAGGTGGCAGAACCACTGAACTAAATCCCTGGCCCCTGAATACCATTTTTAAAAGTCATTTTTTGAGTCAGGGATTTAGCTCAGTGGCACAGTGCCTGCCTTGCAAGTACAAGGTCCTGAGTTCGATCCCTGGCACCAAAAATAAATAAAAAAACACTGCGCCTTCAGCCAAACTCCCCTTCCAGCTGAGTATGAATACCAAGGGACAGGCATGCAGGTGCCATGGAGGCAAAACACAGGGGCAGGGTTGGTGACCCTTTGCAGCCCTCACCACTGACATTCTTTTCCCTTTCAGCCTGAGCCACCACAGGGGGCGCTATGGCCATGGATGTGGCAGAATACCATCTAAGCGGTGAGTCCCCCACACCTGTGGGCCATATGGGACCCTCGTGCCAGGCCTCGGGTGAGACATGTCAGTGGGAACTGAGTCAGGGTCTTGTGTTACTGGTAAGAACAATCAATAACTTACCCAAGGTCACACAGCCTTGAGGACACCATGTGGGGACCTGTCTGAGGTTTCCTCACCTTTCTGCCTTAGTGGTTCCTTTAGAAGCATCTCCCTCTGACCAGGAAGATCAGGGTTAGACACATAGACAAGCAACTCAGGGTCCACATGGTCCAGGAATGGAGAATGTCTGGGCTGCACAAATCCCCTGTCCTTCTGTCTGGTGTCAGTCTCAAGGATGGCCTGGCATCTCCAGACACAGTCCCCCATCCCTGCCAACTGATGGTGGATGGTGTCACCCAATGCTCCCCTCCCCATTTACAGGCAGGAAAAGTGAGCCTCAGCAAGGGAAGGGACAATAATACTAAGTGAGGACTCAATCTCAGGTCTCCCTACTCCCAGACCAGCACCCCCTATCACACCAGCTGCTAACCTAACTCAGCCCTGCACTAGGCCAGGCAGAGCTCCAGGATGTGCCGGGGTCACCTTTCCCAACCCCTGGTTTCGATCCTTCCTTTTCACCTGCTGCTCACAGGTCTTCCTAATGGGGTCTTGGGCAAGTGGTGAAGCTTCTCTGAGCCTCCACTTACTCAACTGTAAAATGGGATCAGGGCTTTGGGAGAATTCCTGAATAACCTGGCACAGTGTCACCATAGCCCTCCTTGGACCTGGAGTGCTCCCCACCTCTCCCTGGCTAAGCCCTCAAGTCTGGGGTGGAGGTTACCAGTGAGTGCAGATCAGGAACCAGACAATCTGGCAGCAATTTACCCCTCTGTCCCTCAGCTTCCCCATCTGAAAAGGGGATAAAAATAGAACCTACTTCACAGGATTGTTTCGAGGACTCAGGGGCTCAATATATGTGAAGAGCTCAAGCAGGACCCAGCAAGTAATAAATAGTAGAAACTTTCTAAGGGGAGTATTATTAGTCCTCCCAGTCCTCTTCATTTCTGGTCCTACTTTAGACCTCACTTCCTTTTGGGAATTCTTCCCCATATTGGCCCCAGTCCGATACTCCACAAAAATCAGTCAGTAAATGAATGGCCTTTGTCATTTTATGTCATCTCCCTGGGGCTTTCTTTTTCTGCCCCAGCCCTACTATCCTATTCTGCTAACCAATACTTGGGCCTCATTCCCCTAGCACCTAGGTCCTCCGAAGATGCTGGGAAGTCTGGCTCTGTTTTGCCCACCCCTGGTTAGACCTTGGGCCTTGACCTCTTGCCACACCTCTGCCACCACCCACCCAAGGTGGTTCCTCTGGGACAGTGTAGACTCTGCAGTCTACTAGGCACTTTCCCATCCCATCCCCCTCCACCAGACAATTTGGAGCTATGTCATGCCTGGGCCTGGGCCCTCTATGTCTCTTGGTTATGGGTTTGTTTAGCCCACAAGCCACATTCTATCCACAGGAGAGGTCAGGGTTCATCGGCTTCCTCATAATCCCCTCAACCCTATGACCTAATGAGCTCGCTTTCCAAGGTCTGCCCAATCCTTGTCCATTTGCTGCTATTTGTACATCAAATTCATGTGGCTATTTCATGCTGAGAATTGATTTTTTTCCCCCTAACAATCCTGGAAGTGTTTCTCCACATTGCCACAGGCCCTTCTCGATGACCTCAATTGTCATTGTTAAAGGCGGGTGACATTCTCTCCCATGACAGCACAGCACTGTCACCTCCCACCAGCCCCCTTGGTAGGACCTTCAGGCTGTTTCCAGATTTCTTCTGTTATAAATACAGCTTCAGTGACTCATATCACACATAAAATTGTTGGGATTTTTCCCCTCAGAGTACATTGGTAGGAAGCCAGGCATGGTGGCTCTTACCTGTAATCCCAGCACTTTGGGAGGCTGAGGCATGAAGATTACAAATTTGAACCCAGCTTGGGATATTTAGCAACTCAGCAAGACCCTCTCTCAAAAATATAAAATGAAAGAGCCAGGGGTGTAGCTCAATGCAGAGGCCCTGGGTTTGATCCTCAGAACAAAAAAATTCACAAATTCACCAGGGTGTGATCACCTCATGGGTGACGTTTTTGTCATCATCTCCATTTTCCAGATGAAGAGACGGGTCCAGAGAGGCTAGGTGACTTGCCTGGGACCCAAGGTCCCTGCACCCTGGTCGCACTTTGGGTGAACGTTGGGTTGAAATCTGGGCCTGGGAGAGAATCTGTGGGTTCTGGCTGGGGATGGTCCTGCTGGAGGGGCTGCCCCACCACACAATTCTTTCCTGGGTGGTAGGCTTTGGAACAGCAGGCACAAAGAGCCCGCCCCTCCAGCCCCTAGTGGCCCTCACTCTTCCTCCCACTGGACATTCTGTTCACTCTGGGCCTTTTTGCCTTCTCCCTTTTGCCTGCTTCCAGCTCCCAGCGGCCTTGGCTGGTAACACTTCTTGCTCACACATTTCTCCTCCTAGAAGCCTTCCTGGCTTCTATTCCTAGCAGACTACTTTATTTATTTGGTCCTCCCGCCCTTAGACAGTGAGCTACTGAAAGACAGGAAATGGGCCTGGGGCTGACTTGCCCAGCCCTGGCTTCCCCTGCCCAGAGGGTGCTGGCACACAGTAAGTACTCAGTGGATGTACAGTAGTAGAGCTCCACCCCTGAAGTACCCTCCCCACCTCTTTCCACCTCGCTGCTAGGGAACCAGGCCAGGTCAGTGCCGGATGGGGCACTGGTGATCTCTGCTTGCTCAGGAGCCCGGCTGCCAACCTTTCTGTGCTTCAGTTTTCCCATATGGGCTGAGTGAGTATAGAGGCAGTGGTGGGAGCTGTATTTGCCACTTGTGTGACCTTCTGCCAAACGAATCCCAGCATAGCGTGCCTCCCTTTGGAAAACAGGGCCAGGTTTCCTACAGAGATAGGCCAACCGCCATGCCAAGTGAGGTGTCTCTGAACACAGTGGAGAAGAGCAAATCACTATATTTGGGGACAGGGAGGTGCACACAGGGAAAGCTGTGCTCTTGGCGCTGGAGGAAAGCATCTTCTGAGTGTCTGCATTTGTCCTCAAGCCTGTGGCCACCTCTCACTTTAGCCAGGTTGATTTCTTGGTTTGTTTGTTGGTCTTGGGCAAGAGATTTATAGAGAGGTTAGATGTACCTACATACAATTCACCCACTTTGCTTTATTTTTCAAGCAAAACTTTTATTGGTAAATTTTAGAGATACGTAACATTCATCAAAAGGAATTTGTACCTATACATAATATATCTTGCTTCTTTTTTTCCCTTTTCCCTCCCCCTTCAACCCCTCTTCCCCTCCTTATTTACAAAATGTTTGTTTCCATTTTTCCTTCTATTCTCTTATTTCTCCTTGTCCCTTCTTTCCTTTCCCCATCACCCCTCCCTTATACATTTGAACATTTTCTTTCCATTTCAATATCTCTTACACATTTTGCTCCTTATTTCCACCTTTGGTTTCTCACACCAGAGAAACAATGGGGTCCTTAAACATATGTGTCCAGTTTATCTCACTTAAGACTATGGTCCCAAGGTCCATTCACTTAGTTAGAAATGTCTCAAGTTCATCCTTTTTATGGCGGAGTAGTACTCCATTGTATTAAAAAAAAAACTACATCTTCTTATCAGTTTGTCAGTTGATGGGCATTTGGGCTATTTCCAAGATTTAGCTATTACAAACTGTGCCACTATAAGGGCAGGGTATTTAGCTCAGTGGTGCTGCCACCTGCTTTGCAAGCACAAGGTCCTGAGTTCAATCCCTGGTACCACAAACAAACAAAAAACTGTGCCACTATAAGCATGGATGTGCATATATCACTGTGGTATGATGATTTTAATTATTTCAGGAAGATACCAAGAAGGGCAATAGCTGGGTTAAATGGAACCTCTAGTTTTAATTTTCTGAGGACTCTCCACATTGATTTCCACAGTGGTTGCACCAGTCTGTACTCCCAGCAGTGGAGAAGGGTTCCTTTTTCCCCACAGCCCCACCAGCATCTGTTATTGGTTGATTTTTTTTTTTTTCTTTTGGTACTGAGGATCAAACTCGGGACTTTGCACTTGCAAGGCAGGCGTGGTGCCACTGAGATAAATCCCTGGCCCAGTTCATTTATTTTTTCCTTTTTTTTTTTTTTTTTTTTTGATAGGGGTCCTCTTTTTTTGTACTTG